CGTCTGACCGAGCCCTGACGGAGGGCCGCCTCTAGGTCAGTGTCGCTCATTGCCCGGAGAGCTTGGCCCCCTCCGGGTCAGTGTCGCTCTGCGCTCGGAGAGCTTGGCCCCCTCTGGGTCAGCTTCGCTCCGAGCTCGGTCTGAATGCCAGGCCGACACCGGGTCACACTCGCCCGTGTGCACCGGGTCACAGTCGCCCGTGTGCACGTCTCGTGAGGGCTTTCACTTTCTCACCACCGGCGGCAGCGTGCAGCGGCTGCAGGTCGGGCTCGGCACGGCGCGACGGCCGCGGTGTCTACGGGAGCTGACCGCGACTGGCGGCGGTTCGCGTGCCGAGCCGGTCTGACACGGGGATGTGTCCGAGCTAATGGGTTGTTAGCCGGCGTGTGGGTCGGACAAGGCCGTCTAGGGATGCGCTGAGTGGTGCTCCCTGAGCCGCTGTCTCGGGTTGGCGCGGCGCCGCTCTCGTTTCAGCGGCCCTTCGCCGGATGTTGTGAATACGGCGCCGTCCGACCCGCGCGTCAATTAGACGGTGGGCGTGAGAGCCGCCGCGGCCTCGGCTGTTTTTACCAGAGACGGGGGAACGCGACCCTCGCGCTGACCGTGATTCCGTGACGTCTCGGTCAGGGGCGGTCAGGTGGCGCACCGCCCCGCCCCCAGTCACGGAGCACGGGCCCACCTGCCCCCCCCCCCCGTCCCCCGTCCCCGTCACGGCTGGCCGCCCGCGCCGGCCCGAGGCCATGGGCGAGTGGTGAGCGCCGGCCGCGTCAGCCCGCCAGGAAGCCGACAGTCAGCGACCATCGGCGAAACGAAACCAAACGAGCCGAGAGAACACGACCGAAAAACTGACCTTGGGCCGCGCCGGTGTGGCGCCGGCGGGTCAGCGTTTCGTGTCGCGCGCGCGCGAGAGAGGCGGCGGCTGGGGGCGGGGTGAGGAAACCGGCCCCCGCTCGTGGGAAGGTTACGGCACACAGGACCGGCACTGGTGGCTGCTCGCGGAGACAGCACCGACAGCCGGACCGGTAAAATCAGCTGGCCGGACCGCACCGGGCCGCCCTGCAACGCCTCGCACTTAATTCGGAGACAGCCAGCAAATGGGCTGTGCTGCAAGTGTGTCCTTGACGACTTTTCACTCAACTGTCAGCCTTTTAGAGGCATTGTTAGGAATAACGTATAAAGCATTACGACCCAGGTGAGTTCCCACATTTGTGTCGGGTCAGTATTGTCCAAGAATGACCATTCAGATATCGTTCGTTTACATTTGCCTCTTACTAGCTGTCCACTTCCATCCGCGACGGCTTGCCTGCTAAAAGTCGCCTTAAACCGGGCAGTATAGTCGACTACAGAATGATGTTCCACTTTTCACAGGCAATTATTTGCCTGGAGTGGTAGGCTGTGCCGCATCGCACGGGCTGAGTTCACAAATTATAGCTTTGTCCCAATGCTCACAATCGACACGCTTAATTGCGTGATAAACGGCACAACTTAGCGCTCCGGTCAACTGATAGCTTCTGAGGAGTGGAACATCATTCTGTAGTCAACTATACATCACTCCAACACGTCACACTAAACATCACGAATGGCGTCACCGGAGCAGAACATGGGGTCGGTGGGGTCACGCATCACCGCAGAGTGACGTCACGGTCATTTCCCCACCGCCGGCGGTCACGGTCTCGTCACGATGTTCGTCGGCGCACCGGAACCGCTCCAGGTTCACCCCGTGACCCCGCTCCCCGTGACACGGCGACTGAACCACTCCGGGCAGCGCGACCTCGCCCAGACTCCCGGAACGGCCACTCCAGCGACAAAGACATGTGACTCAGAGATTCCAAATAGCGCCACTCCAGGGATTTGAGGAAACGTGCAGCTCTGGCACGAGTGAACCGAGGACTCTCGAGAACCGAGGCTGAGTCTCAGAGCATCCACCTCTGATTCTGTGACGGCTTTGACTCCAAGAATAATTCCTCGGGGGGACTCTGGCGAGCTCCCGTCGCTGCAGGTCGCGATCCCGTGCAGTCCGCGATCCCTGCGGATTGGCGCGGCCCGGCTCCGTCCGCCCGGTCAGCCGCCAAGCGGACGCTCACCGGCCGTTGCGTCACGAAGGTCCGGATCGGGGCCGGTCGCCCAACAGGTAAACGAGGCCCTTGAAAGTCGCCGCGACGGGTGCTGCTCGCTGCTCACTGGCATAGAATTCACTGCGGGCCGCAGGTTGGTTCAATGGGGCTCAATGGGATCCTGAACGGTAAAAATAGGCACAATATGACCTTCAATATCGCCATCGGTGACCATTGGTTCCGTGCGAATACGTGCCGTCTCATTTTGCTAAATGTGCTTTATGTGATCCAATATCACGAAGTACGGCTCAATGCAGCTTAGCGTGAGCAATGAACATGCGCGTTTCAACGTGGCCCTATTAACTCAAATGAGTCCTCCATAGCGTTTTGTATTACTTTAGTATGGCTGCAGGCAGGCCAGCTGGCTCCGACGGATGGTAAGCTGACGGCTGACGACGGATCGCGCAGGGTGACGCCGCTCAGTCCCCGACCGAAGCGATGGTGTAGGAAAAGGCTCTGCGGTGTGCATTATCCTCCCTGGTGGCTCAGACACCGGTTATAGCGGTGCCCACGGTTCGTCGCAAGGTCATCTCAGGCTCAAAAGAAACGATATATACCATTCGAAAGCTGGCGGTGAGCTGAATCCAAAAACGTAATTTTTATCAAAATCGATCGATGGCCTTTTTTGAAAATTGCGTTTTTGTAAAAACTTTATAATCTTTTATTCAACGGGCTGTCCCGGACATTCTTGAAAACATAAACATATATTTTTTAGTTCCAGTGAAAGCTGAACGCCTAAAGAACAACATTTAGCGAAGCAATATTTCCTAACATTAATATGTGTCTCCCACAGCCGACGATAAGGCGCAATCACACAGCGCAGTGCCACGATGGACCAAAGTCAGCCACACAGAAGCGTGAAATGACCCTTATCGACTCGCAGACCCGGCGCTCTCGGCCCGCCTGACCGGCCACGGAAAGAACGTTCGGCTCTCGTTCTACTAAACAAATGTCATATTTGTCACTTTAAAGGGACCCTCCCACCTTCAAAAAAGTTTATGAATTGGCATGAAAGTGATGTCGCTCGGTTCAGAAAGAGCAAAAACGAATATCTACCAAATTTCACCGAAAAATATTCACCGGTTTTCAAGATATTAAACTTTTACTTTTGTTTACTTTTTAGGGATCTCCGCTGTTTCTAGCGACTTTATTTTAGAAATGCGGCGTTTGCGGCAGATGTTGCGCGCAAATAGCATATACCACCGCGTGCTACAAAACGTTTTAGTCAAACATTTAAAAATCGTTAGATATCTGCGCTGACGTCACACATTCAGAGGGGTATTCCTAAGCATTAGCCCCTCTGAATCAAAATGCTGCAATTTTGAAATTCAATATTTCCGATTTAAGGCATTTCTCGATGTTGTGAGTGCCGAAACCGGTAATTGTGAGCCAGGGACCCCATTTTGGCTATCTCAACTCAAATCTAATGTTAAGGTGGGAGGGTCCCTTTAACTGTCCACATCGCTATTAAAGATATTCAGGATACCTGTGAAGAAAATTCATTGTTCTGTCATCTTCACATCATGCATTAATTTGCATTTTTCCATGTCTACTTTGCTCAATTGAGCTTGGTATCATGCCCATATAAGGAAAATTGGCCGCGCTGAAATGTCAGAGGTTGCACCGGCCTCAGCTCGGGTGGAGTGGGGGTAGCGCCCGGTGGGGCAGGGTAACCTTTGACCGGTCGCACGGCCGAGCAGCTGTCACCAGTACAGCCTCTGACAGTGAAACCCCGCTCACTTCCCCTGCGCGGGCACTGAGCGCAGCTGGGTGGAACAAAACATGTACAAGAAAAATGTAAAATAAAGCATGTTGTAAATCAAGCAGAACAATGAATTTTCTTCACAGGTATCCTGAATAACTTTAATAGCGATGTGGACAGTTAAACTGACAAATATGACATTTGTTTAATAGAACGAGAGCCGAACGTTCTTTCCGTGGCCGGTCAGGCGGGCCGAGAGCGCCGGGTCTGCGAGTCGATAAGGGCCATTTCACGCTTCTGTGTGGCTGACTTTGGTCCATCGTGACACTGAGCTGTGTAATTGCGCCTTATTGTCGGCTGTGGGAGACGCATATTAATCGTTGGAAACATTGCTCTGCTGGATATTGTTCTTTTGGCATTCAGCTTTCACTGGAACTCAAAAATATATGTTTATATTTTCAAGAATGTCTGGGACAGCCCGTTGAATAAAAAATTATTACGTTTTTACAAAAACGCAATTTTCAAAAAAGGCCATCGATCGATTTTGATAAAAAATACATTTTTGGATTCAGCTCACCTTCAGCTTTCGAATGGTATATACCGTTTCTTTTGAGCCTGAGATGACCTTCCGACGAACCGTGCATGCCTGGCCTTGTGGTGCCCAGCCGACCATTTTTCGCCATCAAAAGGTCATGAAGACGAGCTACTGCTGTTATCTTACCACAGACCTTGCATAGGCGTCTTACAGCTGATTAGGCTATAGTGCCAGCTGGCTATGAGTATAACTATAAGAATAGCTGAATATCTGATCCAGTGCAATATGATGGACAACCGGGCGAAGGCAATTTATGCTTGCACAATGCACAATTACATTTGGGTACTTCTATTTATTACATATGCTTGCCAGCCGTCATCAATAAACAGTAGCTTCTGCAAGCTTCTACTGTGCTGGTTGTAATTATCAACTCTGATGACCATTAGACAAGTGAGCCACCCCGGCTCCGGACTTTGTTTGGAAACATAACACCAGTCAACGCCTGCACAACTATTATGGTTTCACCCTCTGGTGTTACAACCTCTGATCTCTGGAGCCTGAACAGTAAACACTGCCTCGCCATCAGCCGCTATAAACACTGGCTGACCGGCGCCTCTCCCTCTCCCTCTCTCTCTCTCTCTCTACTCACCGTCAGCTGTGAGACCGCCGGCTGGTGAAACGCCGTGTGCGGCGCAGAGTGGCGCGCCTGGGACGGGTGCGGCGCGGCGGCGCGGAGTGCGGCACTGAGCGACCGGAGCGCGGCGCGGCTCCGAACCGACTGACCGCCGCCGCTGCACGCCACTTTCATCCACAGCCGGCGGCAAGGTCGGCGGCCGGCGGCGGGCCGAGCGCGCACCGCGCAGACCGCCCCAGCGCTCAGCTCAGCTCAGCTCAGCTCAGCTCAGCTCAGATCCCCGCCGAGCTCAGAAAACCGCCAACGGGCTCAGCTCAGTGTCAACTGTCAACTGAGCTCGATGCAGCGTCCATCAAGTGCAGCTCAGCTCAGCTCAGCGCCCACCGGGCTCAGCTCAGCGCCGCCAGAGCTCAGCGTTCTCTGCTATGTTCAGCGCCTTTCAAGCTCAGTCCAGCTCAGCGCCCACCGAGCTCAGCTCAGCTTAGCTCAGCGCCCTCAGCTCCACAACTGTCGAGCTCAACTCAGCGCCGAACGAGCTCAGATCAGCACCGACTGCGCTCAGTCCAGACGGGCAGAGCCGCCCGAACCCACTCGGTCCTAACTGAGCTGAACTCAGCGCTACATGAGGCTCATTGAGCTGAGTTCAGGGTCTCTCAGCTGGGCTGGGTTCTGCTCAGAGCTCTCAAGGTTCATTCGACTAAGCTCAGGGCTGCTTGGCTGTTATGAAGCTGCGTTCAAATTTCATTGCCGAGCTAGAGCTTCGCGGCAGTGAAATTAGGCTGCCCGATAGGGCTAAGCAACGCTGCCGCCAGCTTAAATTTCCGACAGCAAAGGCCACTTCAAATAATTAAAAATGGACGCCATTTAATTGCGTCCCAGAAAAGCTATTTCTGGCACCTAAAAGCTGACTCGCCCCAAAATTGGTCCTCAGCACCTATTTGGTGGATACCAGCACCAATCATGGAAAATTACCTTAATTAGCTGTTTCTGGCACCTATTCATCGGTACGCCTTACTCTTTTTTCTGAATCTGGCACCTAAATGCTGAGCGTAGCACCAATCTAGTAGAAAAATGAACTACTGGCTGGTAGAATCATGTTGTTCTGGTATAATGACCCCTGGAGTCTAGCCTAAAGGTTGCCAGTGCAGCTACACTCTAAGACAGCCCCGTAGTGATCTCAGCATTGTATATGACGTTTAAGTAAGCAAATAATATTGATTTGTTTGAAAAAACAATGTCATTTAAATATTTTAAATTATTTATTTGCAATGCTTAAAGGGAAACATTTTTGTGAGTAATTGTCTCGATTTTGACCATTACAACGGGTATTGTATTTTTTGACGTCATCAAATAGCTCCAAAAAAGAAATGTAATGTTTTCATTCCGTTCAAGGCCGCTGAAGAAACGCGGGATCTTGCGTGGGACATTGTCCGTTGTTTGCCGCGCAGAGTTGTGCCGTGGTTGTGCCTTTTTCATCCGTTTCTTACTTATGTGTGCATGAAGCTTTGATTTTGTTTTTGGTTATTGTGTGGCCGGTCAGTCAAACGCCCCTGTAGAAACCGGATGCTGCGTTTGATCGAGATGGAGTCAGACGATGATTGCAGAAAGCTAATAATATTGAAAAGAGGGCCGGTTGCGTGGCATGTCTGTTCAGAGTTGACATTTTGCTTTACTCCAGTTTATGACCTGAGAGCCTGGCTGGAAGTGACGGATCCAAACTTTTCACGTTAAAATGGCTGAGGGTGCAATAATCTCTACATAGCGGGCTGGTATAGGAGCGTCTTGCTATGCTGCACCATAGCTGGCTAGTGATTCTCTTTTGGTTAGAAATGGCATTAATCATTATCTCCACTGGCGAAAATGGCACTTGACATCACCGAAGGCAACGTTCATGTTTGTTAGGATACATAAAATCAGGAAGATTACGCGAATTAGGTAGGCAAACGTGGAATAAAATAGGTGCTGGATGTTTTGGTTTTGGTGCTGAATCAGCAAACAGCAAATACGGAGTTCAACTAGACGATCTGGCAACTTTAGGCTGTGTGGAAGCAATTAGGTGCCAGATTCAGATATTAGGGTCAAATAAGCATTTTGGGGCTGATCAGCAATTAGGTGCCAGAAACAGCTTTTTAGGGACCAGAAACAAATATTCCCCATTAAAAATTACATGTCGAGGTTAACCTCAGTGGCCAGCAAAAGCTACTTGGAAGGTTCAAGGTTAATACGAGTACATACTAACTACTAAGAGCATCTGCATTTCAGTGAGCAATAACTGCATTATTAACGATAACTACTACACTGTCCAGAAAATTGTACCAGAGCAAAAGAATGAGCAAAATCAATGAAATCCTTCAATGCATATATGCTTATATTGCCTTTTCGACCTAATTCTATTGCCGCTCAGAAAAAAAGATGCAATTCACGAGTCCTCGGTGTCATTCGGTGCACGTCGGAAGCAGCCGCGACGCTGGTTTTTATCCCATTCACCGCCGCTGATATTTGTAGTTGCAGTTTGGTCTGTGCTCGATTAAGTCCCGCTTTGTACAGGCCGACCTTTCTTTCCTACTCAACGTGTATCGCAGTAGGATCGACTGTCCCTACCTGTTGGCAGTCTTTGGCCTAGCAGTCCCCAACAGACGCTCTCGACAGACAGGGCTGTTCCATGTACCGTTCGGTCGTGTGAATACTGTGAAGTCAGGGTTCACTGTCCGTATCCCTGCACTTTGTAATCGCTTCTTGCAGCATACACCCACTGCTGACATGTTGGCATCATCGGGTTCCGTTTTATCGGACATCCGAGAGTTTGCTCGCTCTCAGGGGACGTACATGTAATGTGCAGTATTCATTGTAATGTGCAATGTGCATGTGCTGCGTCACCTATTTTAATCGTGACTGCCACTGTAAATGGGCTGCAAGGCCTGTAGTCGGCTATTACAAATACAAGAATACAAGAATACAAGAATACAAGTCAATGCCAGCATTAGTGTCTCGGACGGTTGCGGACTGTAGTACGAGCATGCCTGAGTAGTGGAGGCGTGGTCGCTCCGGGAATAAATATCGAGCGTGGGAGTCCCATTCCGGCGACCTCGCGCCATAACATGTCATTTACGTGGTTTCACGCCCCCGGCCAGCGACGTGAAATACCCCAGAAACGCTATTGTTCCAGATCATCAAAGCGATAGTTGTAGCGACTAGCGAATGTGCCCACCAGCTGGGCTGTTCAGGCTTCACTCATTTGTCACACTTGGTCGAACTGGTCATTCGAGAGACGCGGGCTATTCACACGTCTATTACGAATGAATGACACGGTGTGAAGTTGACCGGCATTCCGACGCGGTCTACGCCGACAGTCCATGCACCGGGCCAAGTCGACTCATTTTGGATTGACCAATTGGGAATATGCAAATGGCCTTTTAGCTAGCGTGTTAGGCTGAAACAAATAAATATCACTGTGGAATGTAAATTCCTTAAACAAAAGTGCCTTTGCATTTATCTCGGCAATCCATTTTAGATAGACATGCAGGGTATGATACGGTTGTACCCGGTACCGTGACAAGAAAGGTGACTTTAGTTTCTGACTCTTCTCGGGCTTAATCTTAACCCTCGCATGTGTGCGGCGTTTGCCAGCTTCTAATGTGTAGGTAGGGGGGGGGGGCCGGTTGGACCCCCCCTTGCCGTTTGGCTCCTGATTGAGCTAGAGCTTCGCGGAAAAAACGAGCGTGTTGCCCGTGACGAGAGGAAGCCGATGATACCCGATTTTAAGGTCCTAGGTCATTGGTTGACCTTCCAGGTTAGGTCAATGACCCAAAGTCGGGAAAATCGGGACCTGTTAGAAAGTCGTTAAGTGTGGCTGCTAAGAGGTTTTTCGCGGTGCTGATCACGAATATGGTGTTAGTTTTGATCACAGATGATGTCTTTAAGCATTTAGACCAGGTCGGGTCAGGTCAGGTCAGGTCAACCAGTAGAGGTCGTGACGGGTATTCGTAGTACGTGTCAACCGCCTCTAGCAGCTTCGTAACATGTTACGAAGGCACCAGAACTACTTCGTAAATGTTCAAACTTCAAATAGTTTCTAAATTCGAATTCAGCTCCAGCCTAGAAACATGTATAGCTCGAAAAAGTGAACCGAGGTCACCAAAGGTCAATGACCTGACCTGACCTTCCGGTGACCTTGACATCCACCTAAATGCATGCGAGCAACATCAAATCACATGTTTGAACGTTTGAAACCACGAGAAGCTTGCTGAAACGCGCGACTTATGTGAGCCGATATACGCCGAATCGCGATTCCGGCCAAACATGGGTTCGAGAAATAGGTCACAGGTCAAAGGTCACTCGGGTCAGGGTCATGAAATTTTTAGAGTAGTTGTAAAATTGATCAACTCGAGGGTACTGAAAGTTTCGTCGCGATCGGCCGCTTTTTACGCGAGTTATTCGCGAAAAACCTTGGGGAGGTCCATCCGACCCCCCCCCCCCCTACACATGCGTGGGTTAAATAGAGGCACCCTGGCCTGCTCGTGCACTACCGGAACAAGGTAACTTTTAAAATGTCGCGCTGTTGGAGGGATTAGCTGCCCGAAGAGCGCCGTTGCTACGGCGGGACGGAGAGTCCGCTGTGACGCAGCTGTTCACACGAAAACGAGTGGAAATTTACCGCGAAAGTCTCAAATGAGACACGTTTCCTTTGAACTACACACGAAGATAATTATATCGCCACAGGAAGCCGCTGTGATTTGCCCTTTTAGTTACTATTTTCAATTGTACTTACTTTAGCATGGTAGGGGCATACGCATTGAAGTGAGCATAGCGTAAAAGCTGTGAAGTGCTCGCTCATGCACAGCAATCCTAAGCACAGTCCCCTCACACTGAATCGGAGAAATGAAAGTAACTGAAGCTGAGAAGGCATTTTTTCGACTAAACCGGGAATAACTCGAAGGAAAACTGTTATCAGTCGCTCGGAAACCAATAGGTACTATAAAAGTGTGTGATGTATGCTCCCCATACGAGTGGGACCATCAAAATATTAAAATAGAATCATGATAAATATAATACATAATTTCTGTATGCCTGTCTGTCTACCTGTCTGTCTGTTTGTCTGTCTGTCTGTCTGTCTGTCTGTCTGTCTGTCTGTCTGTCTGTCTGTCTGTCTGTCTGTCTGTC